TATATATATAATGACTGTTCAGTCCACAAAACTTGTCTTTTGTCATTTATAAGAAATTTATTGTTATTTTAATTTCATTCCATTTTATTATTAATTGTTTTTTTTAACAGACTAGCAAATAAACTGCAACATCTGTAAACAAATATTGGCTGTAAGATATTGTTATTAGTTTATTAATGCTTTGAGCCAGATGTGTTTGTTTTCTGAAGGTCCAGTCCAGCTGTGACACCCTTCATAAAGAGTTTGTCACTTTATATTTAAATTGTTTATATTGTTTTATCAAAAGTTTCGTGTAACAGCCTGAACAGGTGATGACATGAAAATAAAATCAAATTGTTAAATACATTATTGATTAAAAACTTTCTAAACTGGATATTTGAGGGGGGTGATTTTCAAAGAGCAAACTTCTGTGTGGTTCTGATCTGCGGCTCGGTTCTGCCCCTCAGACTCAGGTCCAGCAGGCCGCGCGCTCCTCGTGCGTCCGCATGCACGGCTCTTCAGTGTCCGGACCTACTGCTGAAAACCCCTCTCCAAACCCAACACACGCAAGTCCTCCACATCCAGGAACCGAGCGGAGGCGCGTGCAAGAGACCCTCTCACACTTTGGCCGCACGTGAGCTTGTTTACCTCAGTTGTTTACGCTCCCGAGCTGAACGTAAACAACCTCCAGGTGAGTCTGAACTGAGAGCTTTATTTAATTATTTAAATGGGAAATAAATCTCAGCTGATGTGAAACTGCAGATCAATGAACAAAACATTGTTTTTTTCTGGATCCACAAGTTTGATAATAATAAAAAAAAAAAACGTGTAGGTTTGTCTCGGGGGTGGAGCAGATCTAATAATTCAGTCCACTTCAAAGCAAATAAACGGCGCTTTATTCAAGAGAACAACAAAGTGTAATGCCTTCAGGATAGTTTGAAACAAACAACAAAAGAAGTCTACAACCCCCCCTCTACTGTTTCTGTACAACAAAAGATGGAACCCTTTAAAAAACTGTTTGGTCCTCGACATCCAACCACTTCCGGTTGCTATAAATAAATTACTAGATTAGGTTCAAATGAAGGTGATATTTGGAGCATTTCTCTGGAACTTACGTGTTGTGGAGTTAAACAGCTCTCGTGTCCTTTGGGAGTAAATAAAAGGCCCAAAAGTACAAAAATATATATTAGAGGTTCATTTGGAGGCTTCAGAACTTGCTGCAGTCGTAAACAAAGGCTCCTGAGGTTCGGTACAGGGACTGTCCGGACGGGAAGGCCATCTGGCAGCTGTTGTTCCCGTTCACCGGGGACCCGTTGAGCCCGATCCGCTGGGACTCGAACATCTCCCGCACCGAGTGGAAGTTCTGCTGCTGCGCCGGGTAACCCGGACCCAGGTGGCCCAAGTCCCCGTACCAGGACGCGAGCCGGCCCTGGTGCGTGTGGTGGCCCTCCTGGCCCGCCTGGCTCGGGTTTCCGTGGGCGAGCGGGGACGCGGTGGTCGTGGAGATGCAGTAGTCGGGCAGGGCTTCCTCCACCGTGGTGGAGGGGGCCAGGTGGCCCCCGGAGGCGCGCTCCCCGGTGTACAGGCTCATGGCCTGCATGTTGCAGTGGTACGTGGAGTTGGAGCTCGTGGAGATGAGGTTCTGGTTGCAGGTCGGGGAGTTGTAGGCGGGGTTCTGGCTGGGGGAGTAGTTGAGCGACAGCGAGGGGGTGATACCTGTCCGCGAGGAGGCGATGAGAGGGGGGGAGAGCTCGGCCTGCGGAGACCCCCGCAGGGAGGTCATGATGTTGTCCACGCTGAAGCCCTGGGCCGCGTTCTGGCCGTGGTGGTGCTCGGTTCCGTCCATGCTGAGGGAGCGCGTGGAGGGCACGCTGCGCGGGCTGCCCGTGGACGCGCTGCTGCTGTCCGGACTCTCGATCTTCGGCACCGCGCCCAGGCTCGGGGAGGCGGCCTGCGGCGGCGTGGCGGTCCCGTTCTCAGTCTTAATGTCCTGGATCCGCACCGGCTGAGACCCCGGTACCGGCGGGTCCTGGTCCCGGCCCGCGCCGCGCGCACACGGGTCCTTACTCTGCCGGTCGTCCTTGTCCCGCTGCACGTCCTTCTTCTTGAACCTCCGGCGGCGCCGCAGGAAGCTGCCGTTCTCGAACATGTTGTAGGAGTCCGGGTCCAGGGTCCAGTAACTGCCCTTCCCGGGCTTCTTGTCGTCCCGCGGGACCTTCACGAAGCACTCGTTGAGGGACAGATTGTGGCGGATGGAGTTCTGCCAGCCCTGCTTGTTGTCCCGGTAGAAGGGGAAGCGCTCCATGATGAACTGATAGATCCCGTTCAGGGTGATCTTCTTCTCCGGGGAGTTCTGGATGGCCATGGTGATGAGGGCGATGTAGCTGTAGGGGGGTTTCACCATGTCCTTGGGCTGGTGCTGGGGGGTGTAGGGTCCGTACGCACGGGCCATGCTGGCCGGGTACTGCTCGTGCGCCGCCGCGTGTGAGTACATGCTCATGGGCGCAGGCATCCCCGTGTACCCGGTGCCGGTTCGGTAGTAGCTCTGGTCGCTGCTGATGTAGGGAACGACCCCCAAAGAGTTGGGACTGGACACGGAGTAGCGCGCCTGCATCCTGCGCGATGCGTAAAACCTCTCCAAACCTCTCCAAACGTCTCCGCGCAGAAAGTGTCACAGCTCGGGCGCGTGCTCCCAGTCCTCTCTTCAGTTCTCGGGTCGCAGCCGTGGAGCGGAGGACGCGCGCGCTGCTGCAGAGAACATTTAGAGAACTAAAGTCTGAAGGAGCGCGAGTCAAACTCAGCGAGGAACCTTTTTTTTTTTTTTTTTTTTTTTTTTTTACGCCTCACATTTTTTCTCCCTTTTGGCTGCTCCAGCTGCTCCACCCCGAATCCAAATGTGCTCCATCATCCAATGAGGGACGAAATGAACCTGTGGAAAAGAGCACGCGGATAAAAGTTACCAACCCCTCCCTCTTCCTCCTCTTCCTCCTCCTCCCTCCTCCCCTCTTCAGGAGTTATTAAAATGTTCTGAAGGGTGTGACCAAAAAACTCAAATTGTCCAATGGGCCAAATCTGGAGAGGCAATATCTTACATTCTGTTTTAGAGAACCATAAAACAATCTAAATGTATGCGTTTTTATACAAACATTAAGGTTTCAGTGACCCGCAAAGTTTCTGATCTTTTCTCTCCTTCTAACAGTGGCGCTTCTAAGGGGTGGCACAGAGTGGCAGCTCGTCACCCCATCTTCAGCCAAGGGACGTCAAAAACCTCCGCACAACATTTCTCCAGGTCATGTTTGTAAAGGAGAATTGGTTTCGTTCAGAAGGTAAAATAAAGGTGAAACAAATAAAACAAACTTGCATCTTTATCTCGGTTCTCCAGTTTAGAGTTCCCGCAGACTCCAGAGTGACAGAAGGTTTTATGACCTCCGGCTTGTCGAGCAACTGAAGCAACTTTAGAGGTTTCACGACTAAAAACGGATAAATCTGAAACAGAAGTCAAATGTGTTCGTTTGTCTCCGACACGATCCGAGTTTCATGTTTGACTTCTTGTGCAAATGAGTTTTATTCTTCTCTTTTTGTTCAGATCATTTAATCTCAAATACACCTGCAAAGGTTGTGGAGAAATACAAGTTAAGTCTAAAAAACGGAGCTGCTCACAAACACTTGCAAGTTTTGTTTCATGTGATTTGTAGAAAATGGCTGAATGTTTGAAATTAAACGTAGAAAATAAAAATCAAACTTTACTCCTGCTGACGTTGATCCACTGATTTAATATCACACCAATGAATAAAAAAATAAAAATACTCTATGTCACATAAATCAGAGAGAAGTCAAAAATTAAATGTTTCTCTGAATGAAAACTTTTGTCACTGCAGGACTTTAATCCGTTAATTAGGATCATGGAGGTGAAAGAGGCTCCATCAGCTGCTGAATAAACAAGAAGGACATGAAAGGGTGAGAAGACCCCCCCCCCCCCCCACCACACACACACACACACACACACACACCAAACCCTGTGGAGGGGCGGTCTGTGGAAATAATTAAAGGTTAAATGAAGATCATTTGGTCGAGCGGGGTGAGAAAAAGGAGAAGGAGGAGAAGAAGGAGGAGGAGGAGGAGGAGGAGGTGTCCAAATGTCCCACAATGACCGCATTGTATATATATATATATATATATATATA